TGAAAGAACAGAGAGATTACAAGAGAAGAGGTTGTTCTTCTTTTGGGTAAAATCAAAAGTTCCTTCTTTATAGATTGAATGGTGTTCTTCATATACTAAAATCTGCCTCTCATATTCTTGTATCTTGGTTTCTTCACAGCTATATCTTTTTCACATATAGTCAAAAACAGGAACTCGTTTTTTTTTTTACAGAAGCTGATTCCTCTTCTGATGATCTTGCTTCTGCTGTGCTGAGAATATAATTATTCCAGGTATAACAGAGTCAAAAGCACAGTGCATAGTAATGGCACCACAAATATAACCTGGAAATAGCATCATCTTTGGGGCGAACTTATTTTGATGAGCTTCCCGTATTCTTTCATTAACAACACCTGCAAGAATCAGACACCAAAATGATGAGAATAGAGCTAGAATATAAATGATATATAACATCATAACTGAATAGGTGGAGCAAGCCTCGGTTTCAACAGAAGGAAAAACTCAATATATGGTTTCACTGTCGCAAAATATTTTGTACTTCTGAGGTGATAGCCTTTTCTACTAGGATGTCTTCTGAATCAACGAATAAGTTTTGGAATTCATATATTCTGCAATTACTATGTACAAGACACACCAATTACTTGGTAACACATCAACATAACTCTAAACATCGCCATGCCTGAAATTATGTCTTTCCTTATTTGTGTCGTCCCTGAAAGAATGTAACACCTAAGTAGTCCTATTTTGTTGCGGAAATATTCCACGTTATCCTACTTTGGCCGAATCATTAACTTCTGGACTAGTGAGATGACAAGAAAAATGGAAAAGGAAAATATATACCTGAGACTCCCGCTGTAATAAGACAAATATTAAGAGAGTAATGCATCTTTATCCAAATGAATGATTTACAATCACATCTGTGACATACATCATAGGGAAAAAGTTACCTAAATAAAAAAGATAAGTAGAATAACTAGAGAGTATGATCAAGCATTGCATAATAATATGCTTCTAATAAAAATTTAATGTCAAAAAACATAACTGTTGTAACAAACAGTCCCAAGTAACACCAAGCAAGCACATAGTAGAAATAAAAGAACACCAATAATTTTTCGCCCTTAGGCCCGGATGTTCACCCTAGAAAATGTCTAATCACGACGTTGAGCTTCTACCAAAGTGGTTATCACTTTAATCCACTAGAAAGCAACAAAGAATATCAATACAAGTTTCACACTACAGAAATCCAAACGAATTTAGTCCTCGGACCCAATTTCTTCTCTCAAGAACACTCAACTCCGATTACACCAAATAACCAAAGGTTACTACTCAACCAAGAACAGAATCACTACAATTATACAGCAATCTACACTAGACTTCACCAAGAATATCTAGAACCAAAAGATTACAGACGAAAACCAAGAGTTTTCAGAGAAAGAGAAGAGAGCAAAAGAGAGAAAACCGTAGACAATATCTCGAAGCATCTACCCAAAATGAAAAGTCAGCCAAATTATTGAAAAGGTCAAAAGCATCCAACGGTGGCACCATCTCCAGTTGGCATCATCACAACCATTTAAAATAACAAACAAAGTAGCATTTTAGCAAAAGGCGAGAATACACAAATGAAAATGGGCTGCCGGGGTTACATTCTATCAAATAGGCTGAACAACATTAATTCGGGCTGCATCATTGGGCCATCAATTGGGTTACATCATTCGGCCCAAAATATTAAGCACAATGTTTAACAATAACCATGAACAGAGTACCCGCAGTCAATTCTCACTATGATGTATGGTATTACCGTAAATACCTGAAGTATGTTTATGATTTGGTTTTTGTGATAATTTTTCTGTTCAAGTAAGGTGATTTTTGGTCAAATTTTCATGGAACTGAGATGTCTCTTTTCCTGTTAATTTCAAAGTGTAATTAATTTGTGATCTATATAGTTCATCTGTTGCGACTATGGAAGCTGAAGCTGCAAAAAAGAATTAGTAACTTAGTGTATAAAATACGAGAAGAACAATATTCTAGAGTTTTTGTTGTGACTTTTTTACCTTAGGTTAGGATTTGAATGAAAAGATTTGTAGAAGCTAAGTGTTGCCCACACTAGTAAATGAATGTGTCGAAAAGGGAATTAAAAGAGCTGGTGTGTGGTTTTTGAGATTCGTATGAATTCCTTTCGATACTACTCTATTCAGGTTTTCACGAACATGTTTTCAATCTTTGGCGTGTAAGTCTTGAGTTTGATTGGAAAACACTTGGTTTAAATTATGAACTACTTGTCACTTCTTGAAAAAGTAGAACAATTATTTAAGGACCTTAAGTTATTCACTCAACAAGTCTGAATATGGGAAACGTCATACTTTCTGGTGAAATAATCGTTTGAAGTTCATAAAGGCATGTGCACTTAAATCACACAAAAAATTTGAAGCTACTCGAGATGTACCTAAAATTTTATATGGTTCAGTTCTTCTATATCATTTTCTATTAAATATCTAAAGTCACGAGTTCTTTTCGATCTCAGCAACGTTAAGCTGCTTACATTTGTTTCAGTTCATCTGGCTGCCTCGTTGAATTCCTGCAATGATTTAGAAGCAAAGGAAACTTTTCAGAAGAAGAATTTAAAATTACTGAAATGATATATCTAAAAGTTACTGAAACCTGCATATGAATTTAAAATTCAGAATTTTATGATTTATGACAGGTTTGATGTTGTTGCTGGTGCTGGAGCATGTTTAAAACTTTATACTGGTCCTTCATCCTTTAAAGTAGAAGCACTGTCCTATGGCATGACAAGCACAGATGTTCAGAGAAAAAAGAGAACCCGCCAAACAAAGGTAATTCTTTGGCTATTGCAGCTTTCAGCACCAAGTTCTGCTGAATTAATGCTAAGTGTACGTCCATGACATGACGACGCTAATTAATGTATGTAAACCTATCCCGCTTTTATATTTTACACACTGTTTTTTTCTTTCTTCATTTCGGAGTATTTTCATGAGAACAGCCATCAGTTTCGTCATACTCTGCACAACTTCCCAAGTTGTCCATTTATTTTCTCCAGTATTCATTTATGTTTCTTGTGTACATGTCTAGCAGAAGAAAGGGCCACGCTGGAGGAATGGAGAAACCCCCGAGGGTTGTTTTACCGACAGCACATGTCAAGTAAAGACTTCACTATTCTTTATTTTCATTACTTCTCTTTTTCTTATTATTATAATGCATAAAATGGATCTTCTTTACAATGATTGAAAAAACATGTTAGTAAGTCTTGAAATATAACTTATATACATTTTTACTTCATATAATTAGAGTTTTCAATTTTACCTGACATTATGTTTACAAGAATTATGCTAAATGTATGTTCCATGGGTTACATCTTGGTTAACATTGTGTGAAAATTCAAAAAGTATTGAGCGAGAAAGTGTGTTGTTTTTTAAAACTGTTCAATTATGTGCCAACATGTAGCACAGTGTAAAAAATGATGTCAGACAAGATGAACATGTAGCATTATTGTTTTTACAGTCTAATAAGTTGTATCACTTTGTTAATTTTCAGATTTAAAGACATTACTGGTTTGACGGATGTCTTCTACAAACAAGTTGCAAAAGTTCAAGAAGTTTTCTTTTGAAAACTAGAGTGAGACTATTCTAATTTAATTTTGTTTATTGTCTTTTCAAGCATATATTGTTATTAGTATTTGATGTGAGACGTAATATAATTAGATTTTTTATTGGACAGCTGCATTTGTGTATTTCTACAAGACAATATTGATGCATGTTTTGGAATTTATT